TGCCTTGGCTCCAGAACTGCCCTCCAGCTCCGCTGTCCGTGGGCTTGGCCCCCAGGCACTTCCTGTTGGAAGTTCCTGAGATGTTCTCTCCAGTGTTGCTCCCTGTGCTGTCTCCCAGCTGAGCCCCACACTTACCCGAGCTAACCCAGGAGTAGTCTGTTCCTTGCACATTTACCACCTGCTCCGGAAAACTCCTCGGCTCGTCTTCTCCTCGCTCCACGGCTGTGACTGCGAGAGGAAGGCATCGGCCGCCTCTCCCACTGCTTTGATGACCTTCTGTGATGTAATATGCAGCTGAACTGCAAAGAGAATCAAGTGAAATAAAACACCACCAAGTGTGTCCCTTTCCCAGGGAAGGGCAGAGAGGTTTTGCAGGCTCTTGATTGGCATGCACAGCCACAGAACCAAGCTCAAGATTCAGTGCTTGTGGCAGACACCTTCGGGAAGTTTCCAGGACATGGTGGCCTGAAGGAGGCAGCTGCAGAGACACAGAGGGCAGGAAGGGATATCCGGCTTCAGAGAAATGAGTCTGCTGGGTAAAATGAACACCACTCACTTTTGCATTCAGAGAGGATGTTCTAATTTCTTCTGAAAGTGATAAGAACAAATGAGGTTATTAATATGCCCCATTTTGAAAGCTGTTTCCTCATTCTTAAAAGCAAAATGAGTCATCTGTTTCTCTCACCATCCCTGAACAATAAAAAGAAGGTTCAGTGGTTCCACTGTGCACCCTTATTCCACACACCTGACGTGAAGTCAGGCGGCCTGCGGACCACAGCCCACAGTGGAGGCTTGGGGGACGTGGGTACGTGCTCCCCTTCTGGTCCACCAGACATGGGCAGTGGGTGGGCCCCTCCATGGACATCGTGTCTGGCACCAGGGCCTGGACATTTAATACCCATGGAGTGATCACTCCAGTGTGTTTATATGTAAGATGAGAATCTGTTTATAACAACAAAAACTGGTTAATTCCCTTATCAGACATGAACAGATAACTGAAATAATGCAGAGTAGCCTAAGTAACATAATTTCCTAAATAGAAAAAAGAGCTGGATGGATGTCAAGGGCATTATGCTGAGTGCAAAAGATGGGTCTCAAAAGGCCGTAGACGTCATACCCAGCATGACTCCGTTTCCACACCATTCCTGAGATGACTCCACTACAGAGATGAGACCGGAGCCATGATTGCAGGGTTACAGGTGGTGGGGGTGGGAAAGGGTGTGGCCATGAAGGGGCGGCATGAAGTGGTGGGTCAGTTCTCAGGGTAATTGCACAAACCTGAGAGTGTGATAAAATGGTGTATTGCCACACACCCTGTATGGATGGCAGTCTTCCGGTTTTGACATTGTATTATCGTTACGCAAGATATAATCATTTGGGGAAACTGGGTGACCTGCTGTGCTGTCTTTGCAATGTCCTGTGAACCTATGAATCTATAATTATTTCAAAATGAAAAGATTTTTTTTCTTTTTTTCAGAAAACCAGCACACTGTGATTAAGAGTAAGAAGGCAAGCCACAGGCTGGGAAAAATTTTTTTCCAATACATTGATCTGAGAAAGGGCTCATATCCAAATATGTAAAGAGTTCCTACAATCCAATAAGAAAAAGACAAAGAACTCAATAAAAATGGGCAAAAGAGGATATCCAAGCATCCAATGACCATTTGAAAAGGTATGCAACATCATTTTTCATCAGGAAAATGCAAATTAAGACCACAATGAGACACCACTGGAGACCTGTCAGAATGACTAAAATTTAAGAGATCCAGGATATCAAGTCTGATGAGGATATGGAGCAATTAGAATTCTCAGATGTCTCAGATGGGAACGGAAATCGGATCAGCCACTTTGGAAAACTCTGGAGACTGAGTCCCCTGGAAGCAAACTCTGTGATGGAGATCAGCATGTAGGAAGTTTATTCGGGAGTATGTTTGGGACCAGCACCTGGGGAAGGAGAGGAAAGGGAGGAGCAGGAAGGAGGTTGGGCAGAGGGCACAGTGGGCTGCCAGGCAAATGCAGGGGAGACCTCACAGGGAGCTCTCAAGCCGGGGTGGCCGCTCGGAGTTGTTCTGAGTTGGGGCAGGGGCTCAGTTTTATACCTCAAATTGGTTGTCAGTGATGGATTGGGCCCTGGAGGTGGGCTGGCCAGGTGAGGAGGTGTGGTCTTGGGCAAGGCCCTCTCCCCAACCAAGGCAGTTCCTGAAGGGGGCTGCCTGTGGAGGGCTGTCCGCCACCCACCCTCCCGACAGCGAGGGAAATAGTGCTTCAGGCCTGAGAGGGACCTGAGTGGCCATTGTGGCTGCACCACCGTCCACCCCTCATACCGCTTGGATTCACTGCTTCATAAAGCTTTCAGGGAAGCTCCTCCAAAATTCAGATGGACCTCTCTTTGGACAAACTGTAGTCTCTGCTGTTTCGCTGGGATGGATACCCACCTTCCCCATCTCCTATGACCCAATCTGGATTTCCTTCACCATCAGTTAGCAACTCTGCTGGTCTCAGTGGCTTCTCTGCTGGTGTGACCCAGATCCTCACTCCTGAGCGGGCTGAGTCCCTGCTTACCATGCCCTTCTCAGGCCAGGGTTGCTGCAGCTGTCCTTTTACCACCACAATTGGGCACAGGAATATCAAGAGGCACCCAAATGGGTCACCTGGATGTCAATTATGTTCCTCCCTGCCCTCCTCTTGATGACCTGGATCAACTATTTCTGCCAGAATGGTGGTTTCTTTTCTTGCCAGTTGGTCTCTTGGCAGAAGGAGCGTAAAAAGCTCAGGCAGCAGCCATGGTTCAATGGTGCTCTTGCTGCATCCCCTGGTGGAGGGGTGCCCTTCTGGGAAGCAGAACCTCTAAATCCACAGAGCCCGGGGTGGCAGGGACAGAGCATGAAGTCTCTCAGGGCATCACTGGGAGTCATAGTATGTGAGGCCTTCCTCCGCCCACCCCTTGGTTCCTGGACCAACGTACTCAATCTACTGGGGACGCAACACCATATAAATGTCACTGATATAGAATGCATGTTGGGTCCCGGAAGATGGCATCTATCCTTGCAAGGTACCACCTCCAAACTGGCAATTTAGCTGTTCCTTCAACAAGTTGTCCCATCACTCTATCAGGCTTGCTGCTTCTGGGTCGTATGGCATTTGATATAACTAGTAGATCCCGTAGTCGTGTGCCCACTCACATAGTTGCTTTGCTGTGAAGTCTGGCTCACTCTGTAGACCTCGGGTAGTAGAGCTGGCTTCGACTCTGTGGGCAGGACAGACAGACCCGTAACCAAATATGTATCTATTATTGTCAAAATGAAGCACTGCTGCTTCCAGGATGACAGAGGTCTAATGCAATCGAGTCACTGCCCCCGAGTCACTGGTTGACCTACTTGAGAGGTGGCGCCATATCAGAGGCTCATCCTTGGTCACTGTTGCCAACAGCTTGGATATTCGACAAGCAGCACGGGCAAGATCGGCCTTTGTAATGGGAAGCATGCTGTTGGTACCATACACAGCCTCCATCCCTCCCGTGATTCCTCCATTCATTCATTCATTCATTCATTCTCCATTGTGCTGGCACTCGCATGGCCAATGACAGGGGCTGACTCATGCCATGGATTTTAAATCTTCCTTCCAGGGTGGGTGTTACCATGAAATACTAAGATCTCCTCACTTCAAGTTCATTCCCAGGTGTCCATCCTCATCCCTCGCCCAAGACTTTTTGTCCCTAACTTTCCTATCCATCTCCTTGCAAACGTTTGAGCAGCTGGCCCAGGCATTTGCCACTGCCCATGGCTCTCTGTGGATTCTAACCTCTACCACTTCTCTCGCCACACAAAGTCGATGACCAGATTCACTGCCCAAAGCTCTGCTCAGGGAGAGCCATTCCCCTCGCTGCTGTCTTCAAGTTCGCTCACGGCTGTGAGCTGTCAGCTGGTTTTGGCTTATGCTCACCTCCAAACCAATCATTTGTGAACTGAATTTAGGCTTTTTTCTCCCCTGTCACCTGGTCATAAGGGATCCCCCGTGTGGCCATAGGTGTGAGCTGAAGGAGAAGCAATTGCCGAAGAGGGGCTGGCAGCTGGCACCAGTCCCAGGAGCGAGGAGGAACCATCTGAAGGAGACGCTGAGGAATGAGCTGCAGCGTCCTCCAAAGTATCAACAGCAGCTGAGCGTGTGCCTGCCCCATCGCCCAGACACGCCCCTCCTGGGGACCTATGGACTGAGCATGCGCCTGCCCCATCGCCCAGACACGCCCCTCCTGGGGACCTATGGGCTGAGCGTGTGCCTGCCCCATCGCCCAGACACGCCCCTCCTGGGGACCTACGGGCTGAGCGTGTGCCTGCCCCATCGCCCAGACACGCCCCTCCTGGGGACCTACGGGCTGAGCGTGTGCCTGCCCCATCGCCCAGACACGCCCCTCCTGGGGACCTACGGGCTGAGCGTGTGCCTGCCCCATCGCCCAGACACGCCCCTCCTGGGGACCTACGGGCTGAGCGTGTGCCTGCCCCATCGCCCAGACACGCCCCTCCTGGGGACCTACGGGCTGAGCGTGTGCCTGCCCCATCGCCCAGACACGCCCCTCCTGGGGACCTACGGGCTGAGCGTGTGCCTGCCCCATCGCCCAGACACGCCCCTCCTAGGGACCTATGGACTGAGCATGCGCCTGCACCATCGCCCAGACATGCCCCTCCTAGGGACCTATGGACTCAGCGTGTGCCTGCCCCATCGCCCAGACACGCCCCTCCTGGGGACCTACAGGCTGAGCCTGTGCCTGCCCCATCGCCCAGACACGCCCCTCCTGGGGACCTATGGGCTGAGCGTGCACCTGCCCCATCGCCCAGACACACCCCTCCTAGGGACCTATGGACTGAGCATGCGCCTGCACCATCGCCCAGACACGCCCCTCCTAGGGACCTATGGACTCAGCGTGTGCCTGCCCCATCGCCCAGACACGCCCCTCCTAGGGACCTATGGAGAAGAAATGGGCACATAGGTCCAACAACAGAAAATCGCATAACAATTTTCACCGAAGCTTTATTCCTAATTGCCTCAAGCTGGACACAGCACAAATGTCCGTCAATGGGAGAAGAGATCAATAAATGAGGAGTATAGTCATCCAACACAATGTAAACCACAACATTAAAGACCAACGACTGATGTGCACAATAACGTGGATGAATCTTACACACCTTGTGTTGAGTAAAAAGCCAGAAGCGAATGCTGCCTGACTCATTTCTCGCGTTTATCGAGGACAGGCAGAACTAACTCAGGTGCTCGAAGTAAGGATGCCCTTTCCTTCTGGTGGGCTTGCTGGGCATCGCTGGGGAGCTTTCTAGGGTGGGGGAAGTATTTTGTATCTTGATCTGGATGTTGATTACATTGATGTATGTTTATATACATATATGTGAGATTCATGAAGCTATACACATAGATACGTATACTTTACACATTTGACCTTTTTTGGTAGTATCTTATATCTCAATTTTAAAAAAACAAATAAATGGCATGTGCAAGTTAAATAGAAAATAAAAGTGCACAATAAGAAGAGACAGTATGCAGTTCCTACTGTGTGGCGCCTCTGCTTTGACCTGCTCAGCCGTTTTTACAGGGCAAAGCCCCAGGGCGTAAGTCCGCTGAAAGTCCTGCTCTGCAGTCGATAAGTTACTTAGAGTCACAGTGTCATGATCCGATTCTTTTTTGGGTCCTGGGGTTTCTGCTCAGCTGCACTTTCCATCTACAGCAGCGTCTTCTCTCTGACCTTCCTGGAATAATTTCCATTTCTGGAGCAAACTGCATTCTACAAAATATAAATATGCTCCAGGTCCCTTCCGTTACCTCTAACGTTCTGCCTGGCTGGCGTCCTCTCTCTGGCTATTGTACTGGGAGCATCTGATGTCACTATTCCTCAGCTGTTTTCCATCCCCGTCACTTCCCTTCCCCCTCCCCCGGAGCTCTCTGTGTGAGTGAGTTAGCCGGGCTCCGTAATCAGATATTTAAAGGAACCAGCTTCTTTTGAACCGAGGCGATTTTTTTCTACACAAAATTAACCCAGTTAACACCGTGGTACGAGTTATCTACAGCCTTGTTCCCATGGTGACTGCGCCAGGCAGTGATCTGTCAGTGTCGGGAGTAGACAGATGCGATAGGGGCATTCTATTCAAGTGATTTAACCATTTTCTTCATCTGTAAAATAGAGAAATAAGAGGCGATAATAAGATTGCTGTGGGAATCATGTCAATAGATATAAAACTCTAAAACAGTTCCTGACAATGGTGAGGACCTTAAGGAGAATTCTGATCAGAACCATAATGCTCACTGAGCATGTGCAGAACACAGCCATGGAAACCAACAGCAGGAAAACGTCTCCTGTGCAAACAAACGTGCCTCACCCAGGAAGGACGGGTCCCACACAGAAACGGTCTGCTGTTGTCAACAGGCCAAAAACAGAGAGAATGCTGTAAGTTACGTAGAGAGAATTTCTTTAAAGACTGAATCAATTATTAAAGATGTATGTGATGAGTAGGCAGGATAATATCAAGGAGCTCTAAATTATTTACACTTTATTGCTCTCAGTCTGTGGGTGTCTGACAAGCCTCGTGTTCCATCGGGGGATCCTGCAGAGTGTTCTCGGCCCAGAAGATTTTCTGACGATGCATCTGCTTTGGAAGATGTTGAAGCATCTTACTCACCTAAAGCAATCAGTCCTTGACTTCCCCATCATGAGGATTCTGCTTTTAGGACCATGTTCTCTCAGGTTGCAGCTGCGCCTTCTGCTCTAAGATGCGTGAAGGGAGGAGATGTCTGCCAAGAACGTGGTAGTTCTGCGTGTACGATCAGCTCTACCGTTTCTGCAAATCTTGATGAAATGGCACAAACAGTATTAGAGGGGTCTCACCTTCCAGAGGCACCTTACTGCTGCTACTGGGCCACCTTCTGGGGCCTTGAGTTCCAAATGGTCCACATATGCCCTCAGGCTGCGTTGTGTTAATTCCAGCTAAGCGACTCCTGTGTCGTGCCTACACATCTCCTGGGCCAGATGCGTGCGCATGGGAAGGGGACTGAGACGTCCCCATGGTACCAGCTGCGCAAACATGAGAAGGGGGAGGTGTTTGTGAACAGCTATGAAGAGAATTTTGACAAGGGACAAGGGCTCACTGAGTGCCCTGGGTTCGTTCTCATCTTTAACATAGAACTCCCACGCAAATCAGTTGTGGGTGCCTCTTGAGCACCCCAGATTCCCACCCTTGCTCTGCCTCCCCCAGGGTGAAAGGTTATGGGGTCCCAGCAAAGGTCAGATGCCTCGGATGGGTTCTAGAAGAATCCAATCCATCCACTATTTTTTACGTCAAATTTTCCTCCAGCCTGCAGAGGCCTGGCTGTGAGAAACAGCCTCACCCCAGGATCTGGGCGGATACGGGCGGCGGGCGTGGTGGGGCAGGAGACAGGAGGGTTGCGTGGGTTTCTCTTTGACTACTGCATCCTGAGGAAGAGGTTTGCACTCTAGGAATCTCAATGTCAAGATGCTTACCTTGACTGGCATCCTTTGGATTAAGGAAGAAAGCAGGAATTTGAGAGAGATGATTAGAAACCTGAATGAGGGGCCATCCATAGCCTGTATTTATTTTTTTGTAACCCCACCATCATCTCTGGGCATCTGATTTCGTCTTGACATGTTAGCGAGCTACAGTTGGTCCGAGTGACTCTAAGGGGCCTGCAGATTTTTAGAGGATATAGAGGAGGGGCCTGAAGTTCTCAGTCCTAATCCTCCAGAGGGCCTGGCGAGGCCTTGGGAATCTAAGCACCACCTCCTCCCTTCGTGGGGTTTGAACAGCCGGCAGAACCGCGGGTGGGTCTGCTTGGGCAGGTCTGGGCTGTGCTCAGGAGGCCATGGTCTGTTCCCCGGAATGGGGTGGGGACCAGAAGCTTCAGCGAGACCAGGGATGGAGCAGCCCCCCTGAGTGAGTTCTTACATGGCCACAGCAATCCTCTGTCTAACGTCGATTTCCAGACTCAGGAAGATCCCTATTCAAATGAACTAATTCCAGAGAACATCCCCAGATTAATTAAGCGTGGATGGCTCTTCCTGTTCCTCTGGATCAGAGCAGGCGCTCTCGCTGCCCTGTCCCACCCACCCGGCCCTGCAGGGTGATGGGGGTCCTGCCATTCACCACCTCCCGGGCCTCTCTCTCTCTCTCTCTCTTTCTCTCGGAAAGCTCTCCAGATCCTCTGCCCGTCTTTCCCCAAGATCCCTGACCTTTCTTAATTCGACATCCCGAACGATCCCTGACCTGCTGCTCTCGCTCCTTCCAGGACTCTGGCTGTGGCCCTGCCAGGCCTCAGGTCCTATCTGCCAGCAGGCCGGCTGACCCCTTAATGTGACTGACCGCTTTGGATTCTTAAGCCTCAGGTTCTGCTCCCCTCAGACTTGGGAAGCCTTCTGTGTCTTTGCCCTCGTTCTGGGATGGTGCCTTAGGTCCGGGAGGGCTCTTCGGGATAAATCTCAGCCTTTTTCCTTCAGAAAGAGGCCTCCAGACTGCTCTCCTTCGCTTCCTCCCTCAACCTTAGTTCCTGCCCACAGCAGCCCTGAGCTCGTCTCCAAGAGAGTGCGGGGGGTCCGGGAGGGGAGGACAGGCCAGACCCCACCTAGACGTCTCCATCCCTTGCTCCATCCGTGGCCCTGGAGAAGGGGCTTGGACGAGTACGGAGCCCCAAGGAGGGAACGTTGCCCCTCCCAGCAGGTCTCTGTCTTTCCTGAAAATGGCAGCTCTGCATCCCACGGATATGGGCGCACAGCCTTCCCGGCTCTGAGTGGGGGTGGCCTCCTGCACGTGGGGGCCGGGATGGCTGGGGACTTGGGCCCCTTGTTACTGCTAAGCTCGGCACTGCCATCCCTTTATGTAAACGGTCTCAGAGGCGCATCCTGTTACTTTTCCCGCTTTACAGGTGGGGCCCCTGGGACCCAGGAAGTGGCAGACTCGGCCTGAGGCTCCAGTCTGACCCAGAGCTGGGACGCCTGCCCTCGCCCGAGCTGGGGCCAGTCAGCCATTCCCTGACCGCCCTGCCCTGGCTCCTTGGCCGTCAGATTGGCTGGGAAGAAGCGTCAACTGTCCAAGGGGAGGGGACTTGGAGCAAATGGGCGCTCACAGGCTGGATCAGAACAGCAGCGTGCTCTGCCCATCAGCCTGGTTCTCGCTCCTCTGTGGAAGCCCTGATCGCTGGGGCGGGCGTCTGGGCCCCCACCACGTGCTCGCTGCAAGAGGGTCATGCTGGTGTCCGTGTACTCGGTGCAGCTTGTTGGGTTCAGTTTTGAGTGTTTTCATTTCTTTGTCCCCAGGCAGAATCGGATCCAGCCTTTCCGCCCCTCCCTCCTGGGAGACACTGCCCTTCTCTCCTCCATAAGAGATCCCCGGGGGGCCTGAGCCTGCCCAGCCGCCTCCTGTTTCCCCTCTGCCACTCTGCGCGTCCCCCTGGACCAGTGGTGCCTGGAGCATGACGGACAGTCAACAATGTTTGTTGAATGAATGCATGAATGAATGAATGCAGCTTTCCGTATGTGGAATCATGGCCCCTGACAGAGCTGCTGTTAGGATCCCTTGGAAGGGAGCCACAGGCTCGGTGCCAGGTTGGAGGATGGTGGCGAGTGCATTGTGCTGACTGTCGTCTCTGTGGACGGCTTCTGGTTCCTCCCAGACCCTCCCACGCCTGACAAACGGAAGCCCACGGGCTCACAGTCTCGCGGCAGCCGGGGCGAGGCGCTGGGGAGCACTGGACTGTGCCCCCGGCCCACCCTGTCCATGCATGGGCCTGGAGAAGCTGACCTTTGTCCTTAGAGCCAGTGTGACTTCCTCACGTTCATCTTGAGCCTCCGGGCAGGGCGCCTGGGGGTGGGGGGACCGCCACATCAGGTGCCGATTCCTTGTGGCAACTGGACTTCACTCCCAGCTCCGGAGCGGAGAGGAAGGCCTGATGGAGATGCCGGGCAGAGCGTGTGATTTATAGCCCCTCCATCACCGAGAAGGACCGGCCTCACTGAGAGAGGCTTTTAAAGATCCCTTGGCTGGGATTTGCCTCACCACCCCGTCTTCCGCTGGGCCTGACCATACAGTCGCTTCTGGTAAAAATTCCACTGTCACAGGACAGCTCGGCTCTCTGTTCCTCTCCCCTCCACTCGACCCACCCCCGAGCCTGACTCATCTCTTCTAGAACCTTCTCTGTCCTTCTACGTGTGATTTACTAAGTGCGTTTCCCAGCCAGCTCCCAGACGCTGGCTAGAAAGACCAATTTACAGGAACAAAATGTCCCCGAGTTATCGCCGGGTCACGGTCCAAACTTCATTTGAGGATCAGCTGTGGGAATTGATGTTTTTCTCATAGAAACAACAGTGGTGGAGGGGGCTCAGGGTGTCCTCTGAAGACATTTCGTCCTTGATGAAGCTGAACTGTAACACAGACAAGGGGTCTAGACACAGAATGTCTGTGTGGTACAGAAGGGGGGGGGTAGGAGGAGAAGCAGGAGAAGCAGGGGTGCTGCCCCCCTCTTTGTTAAGGCAGTTCTAATCCTGGGCCACAGTTCATAATAAACAGGTCTTGTGCATGCAGCCTCTTGTGGCCTTAGATCCAGAAAGGATTGGGGTTTGGAGTCTGACCCATGTTAAACAAACTCATACCAGCTTGATGTATTGACCAGAATGGCAGGTTACTCACCAACATTGCTGGCTCTCGAGCTCCCGGGGGAGCAGGCTGCTCCCTGTGCGATCCCTTCTTGGAACCGAATCTGAAGGGGAGCTGTGGCAAGCCTCCCCCCGTCTGGATCAGGGCTTCCACTGTCGCAGGCTGGGCACGCCTCCTCGGGCCCCGCCCTTCTGCCCTCCGGCCCCAGCACGCGTGTGGAGACTCAGGGCTTGCATCATCCGCTGCCCCTTTCCTAGACCTTCGGGCCCCGTGCTAGGCACCACCTTGCTCTCACTGCAGTGATTTCTTCAATCAGGTGAAAGCCAAACTGGTCGGCCCGGGGGCCCTCTGATTCTTTAAAGTGGGTGTAGCATCGCTTGCTGCGTTCTGACCGAACACACGTGGATTTTGTAGTTTAACCCAGCAGGAAACAATTTAATTTGTGTTATTGGGGACCCTTCAACTGGATGTTTCCAACCTCCCCGACAGTGTTCCATCTCTACCTTCAACTACAGACCCCCCCCCTCTTTCGTGTGTGTGTGTGGGAGGCAGGGGAGAAAGTAGAATCAGGCCATCTTATTCCATAAAATCCTCGAAATTCAAAATATCTGCTGTCTCAAATCCTTTTCAGAAGTAGCGGGAATATAAAGTAGAACAAAATACGTGAATAAATATAAAGAGTCGTTTATTACCTTTCATCCTTAGCAGAAACTCCCGTTCCCTTAGAGCAAATGATCTCAGCTGGATGTTTAAAAAAAGTTGGACAAATTAGTTTATACTAATGTGTGACTGACTAACTGATACCTCTAATAACGTCCTGGGAGTTTTTCGTCTTTTTAAAAGAGGGTATACAGTGATATGTATGCATCTCTAACCAGAATTTCAGGCAGGATAAGCAGCTATTTCACAGAGCAGAAGGGTTTGGGGAGTACTGTGGGAAGGAGATGAGGTTCAGCCCCGTCTTTTGCTCTGGAGTCCAGCTTCCCTCAGCTGTTCATAGCATCTTCTTCTCTCTCTGAACTCCAGTCCCAGAGATTCACAAGGCTCCAAGGTTTGTCACAAAGTTCCCGTGGCGGAACGCTCAGGACCCCTGGTGTGTGTGGGGGTCTGGCTGCTCAGGGGCGAGCGAGGGCAGTGTCGGCCGTCTGTGCAGGTCCTCTGCCAGCTCACCTTGACCTTTCATCCGTCTCTTTCCAAATGCCCCACTTCATTTCGTGTTTGGTATTGCTTTTGCAGACAAGCTTGGCACCCCGAGGGCTGAAGCGTCTCCCTGGAGCGGCTCCTGTTCGTCCCCTCTCCTGCCCCACAGGCCTCACTCCCAGGGGCCCGCTGGACCGACACCTGCTTGTTCCCCAGCAGCTCGGTGGATGCTGACTTTGCTGGGTCAGCCTCTCTGTCCTCCTGCCCCGGCTTGGGAGGAACTCCTGCACCAGCTACGAGAACCCTGGCCACAGGCCTCGCCCACAGTCCCACAACCCCGGTGCTCTGACTCTTGCTGGGGACAGTCAGAGAGGCCCTGGCGGCTGCTCCTGACCGACCCCCAGGAGATGAGCTGAACGGCGTCTCTCCCGGACGGCTGGCGACATCGCGTGCCCGTCCCACCCCTGGACTAACCCCCAGCCCTGTATCTGGGCTGAGAACAATGGCCCCTCACCAGGCAGGTCTGGGAAATTATACGGGACAAGGTTTGGGGTTTTTCCCCTAGCCTTTTCACTGATACTCTCACACTACAAGTGTCCTGCTTGTGAGAGCTGACCTGGGGGCCTCTGCTGTCCTTTCGTCCGTGAGTCTTGGCCCCAAACAAGGCTGCCCAGACGGGACGTGGATGCTGGGGACATGGCTGCAACCGGGGACGTGCCACAGGAGCCTACCCTTCCTCTGGTCGAGGGCAAGTGAGTTTCTGCACAACCACCCCACTGCGTTACATAGGTCCTCTGTCACCGGTTCCCAAGAAGCCCGGTTCCTGGTTCAGCATCCTGTGGTTTAGCCTCAGGAACACGCAAAAGGTCATCGCATTTGTGTCTGAAAGTTTAAGAACCAGTGTTGCCAGGATCAAGAAGTTAGAAATGCTCCCACATGTGGTTACTCTTGACAAATCAGTTTGTAGACTCATTCAGCAGACACGGTTGGGGACCTACTGTGTGCTGGGCCTCAGGGACGCTGCGGTGAATAGGGAGGGGGTGTCTGCTCTCCCGGACCCCATGACGGCCTTCAAGGAAAAAGGATCCTGGTGCTCTTTTCTGGAAGGCAGAAGACTGAGCCTTCCCAGAGGCCGGCGCCCGGTTCGTCTGTCGTGAGCACATGTGGGGGTCCTCACCTGGCTTCTCCTGCCGGGTTGTAGACTCATCGGGGGCACACATGGCTGCGTTTCAGCCTCCTTCCGCAGAGTCCTCTCTGTGCTTTCTGAATGCTGGGCTCGCTGCTCTCTTGTCGCCCTTCTCGTGAGTGTGACGGCTGGTGCTGCTGAGTGCTGACTGAATGCCACACCCCCGCATTCACAACCTCACTTTTCTCTCTCTCTCTCTTTTTTTTTTTTGCTGGGCAAGATTTGCCCTGAGCTAACATCTGTTGCCAATCTTCCTCTTTTTTTTTCCCTCCCCAAAGCCCCAGCGCATGGCTGTATATTCTAGTTGTAAGTCCTTCTAGTTCTTCTGTGTGAGCCACTGCCACAGCCTGGCCACTGACAGATGAGTGGTGTGGGTCTGCACCCGGGAACAGAACCCAGGCCACTGAAGCAGAGCACGCCCAACTCTAACCACTAGGCCATCAGGGCCAGCTCCACCATCTCCCTTTACCAAACCACAACTCGACAAGGAAGCTGCCCTCAGGGACCCCATGAACACCGTCCTTACCTTGGCCTGCACGGCCCAGCGGCAGCCTGCCCAGCTGCAGCTCCTCCTCCCTCTCCCCGGCTCCCAGCTCTCAGCCACCCCCGCCCCTTGCTGGTGGCCACACCCCGCGGGCTCCCTCCTCAGGCTGGCTCTTGACTCACCCACAGCTCCAGAGAGGCGCCCCGACCCTCTGAGACAGCCAGCTCCTGGGCTCCCCCCCTCTCGCCCTGCTCTGTTTGCTTCATGGCCCTCACCACTACCCCACAGATCACGTCTCTGTGGTTCGTCTTCACTACCTGTTTGTTAACATCTGAATGCCAGCTTCACTTGAGAGGGCTTGGTCCGTCTGGTCCCGAGCTGCATCCTCAGCACCCGCCTGTGCTCCCACCAAGTGGGTCCTCGACCAAGATCTGTTCGATCAATGAATCTCCACTTTATAGATGGGGATGCGAAGCTTAGAAGGATTAAGTGACTTGTTCAGGCCACATAGCTAGGAAATGCCAGAGACGGGATTTGAATCCACGTCCTCTGATGCGAACAGCCACATTTGGAACCAGTCTGTGTGTATCTGTGTTCTTCTCCATGAGGCTCTGAGATTCTCCGTGACAAGGACTGTTTGTTTAATATCTTTAGCCTGGATGCTTACAGAGTCTGACACTTGGGGCGGATTTTATAAATGTTGGATGAAAAATATGCAGTCAGCCAACGGATGGCAGCTCGAACAGGCAGAGAGGCACACTTCCAATGGGACCACAGTATAGATGACGCACGAGGCCTAAGGAACGCGGGGGGGATAGCAAAGTCCCCCTCTGCACAGTTAAACTGCCGGTGCTAAGGGGCTGGCTAGGCTGTGTGGAAAACGAAGTCTGGCGAGTGAGCGTTATCGCTGCGCCTTCCCCTTCAGCAGCCGGAGGCCAGAGTCGAGGCCCCAGACCCTGCCTCAAGGGCGCTGCAAGTGTCAGTGCCCGGGATGCTTTGCTGACCATCCAGAGGCTCCAGGGTGATGCTGGAGCCGTGGTAAAAACGTGCTGTCTTCACAATGGGGACAGATGGCGAGCTGGCAGCTCCATAAAGTGGCCACAGGGCTTCCCACTGGTTCTGCTGTCCACCAGGCAACAGACGCAACGTTCAAGTTTGCTGAGAGGGTTTGACGGAAAAGATCCCAAGGAATCTGGAGGTGTCTGAGCAACAGGAAAGATGTCTCTGGCTACTTCACTGCAGGACTCTGGACTCTCACGTGTGAACAACAGTTTGGTACAATGACCAGTTGTTCTGGTTTTCAGAGCTCATCCCTTCTCCTTTCTAACCTTGCGGCTCCTTGGCACAGCTCTCCTGCTTTCCTCAGTGCAGGGAAGCGGGAGGGAGATGGGACCACAGCCCTCCCTTGGGATCGGCCTGGGGGAGTCAGGACCCTCCGATGGTCTCAGCTGGCCCCCTGGAGGGGTGTCCGCCATTGCGTCCCAGCATCAGAGCTGTGCCGGGTGGACGCATAGCTCCTCTCCACCGGAGAGATGTGGTCACTTACACTGTGTCCCCTTTGTGGGCTGAAATGATTGGCGTCCTTTGCTCCCACCCGTTTCACACGCCCTCCTCCCTCCTCTCTCCTCCTCATCATCCCGCCCTTCTTGTTGATGTTCCTTAGCTCTGAATCACAGATGTGCTGCCCAACGGGAGGGTATCACTCCAGGGAAGCAGCATCTCCAAGCTTGAGTGCTAGTCTCTCTAAGGCGCTTTCTGAATTAAACCAGGGGGTTTCCCAGCCTCTCGGACACCTGTTCTTTCTGTGGGAAGATAGAGCAGATCTCTTGCTATGAAACTGCAAGGGAGGAAGCAGCCATCTTTCTCTGCCCACCCAGAGCCTCCTGGAGCCCTGGCACCGGCTCAGAGGTCTGAGAACAGCAGAGGGGGGAGGTGTGGCCCTGACGCAGGAGGCCACTGCCAGCACTGGCGGCCCGTGCTGAGAGGGCTGTGTTTTCCTTTGTGGTTTGTACTCCATGCCTCATATTTTAGGAATAATTCTCTATGCTGAGTTCACTCTCTCCTAGATTGCCTTCTAAAAATATTTTAGTTTTACCATGCACGGTTATGTCTTTGACCCACATGGAATTGATTTCTATGTATGGTACGAGGTGAGGAAGGACCAGTTTCCTTCTTCCTTATGAAAAACGGTCGAAACCCCATTTGTTAAGCAGCTCCTCCTCTCCCCACTGATGTGCGAAGCCTGTCGTTACAAACCCAGTTTCCGTATCGCAGGAGTCTGTTCCGAGGCTCTGAACCAGCGAAACCCTGGGCCGCCGAAGCGGAGCGCGTGAACTCAACCACTCGGCCGCAGGGCCGGCCCCTCTAATGTCTCTCAGTAAATTTTTATAATTATAATTTTCTCCAAAAAGGGCGTGACATCTGTT